AGTCAAGCCTTTCACCACTTGCAAATAGCCATTTACATCATTCCATCAGGTTGGTTTTTTGTTTGTTTGTTTTTGCAAAAAATTCATACATATATAAGTAATACTCAATGTATTCAAAGTTCTTTTCATTGGAAATATTTCCTCTGTCCACTCACTTTGAAACCAGAAGTCATTGATCTCTTGCCATAAAAACTTCATTGGACACAAATTCTGCTATTTTAGAGGTAAATGAAAGCCATAGTTTGCATTCTCAAAGAAAAAATATCCTGAGAAAAGATTCAAGTGACCATAGTTTATTTGGGATGCGTGGATCACATTGGCAGAGAGTTGAGAAAATGATGAGGTAGAAATGTGTACAAAGCCAGTATCAAGTTTACAACAAAGTGCAAACCCGAGGGAAAAGTCTCCTAAAGGATGGAAAACACACACTTTGGAATTGTCTTACTTGACAAATGAAGGAGCCAGAGTCTTTATAAAAAGGTCTCCAGAATTACTGAGTGAATATTTTTGTTAGGTGACATGCACTGACATCATGACTTTCTGCTTTAACATGAATATAACCCTAAGACATAAAAGTGAACATCTGGCGGGAGGAAATTGGTCTGAGCACACTAAGGCCCAAAATATGTACAAGTCAATTTGGAGAGCTATATATAACAAATGACTAATTAGTGGGCTGCTCAAACAATAACATGTATTTCTCACAGTTCTGCAGGTTGGGATATCCAAGATCAAGGTGCTGGCAGGGTAGGTGCCCACTTAGGTGAATCTACCTCCTAGTTTGCCAATGCCTGCTTTATTTCTGTATCCTTCAATGACGCACAGAGAGAGAGAGAGAGAGAGAGAGAGAGAGAGAGAGAGAGAGAGAGAGGAGACTCTGGTCTCTTTTTTTATCAGAGCACTAATCCTATCATGGGGGACTTTCCCTCATATCTTCAGCCAAATCTAATTACCTCTCATAGATACCACCTCCAAATGCCATTATATTGGATACTAGAGGCTCAGTGCACAAAAATTTGTGCACTCGGGGGTGGGGGGCTCCCTCAGCCCAGCCTGTGCCCTCTCGCAGTCTGGGTCCCCTCAGGGGATGACCACCTGATGGCTTAGGCCCGCTCCCCGGGGGATTGGGCCTAACCTGGCAGTCAGACATCCCTCTGACAGCCCAGGAGCCCTTGGGGGATGTCCACTTGCCAGCAGGGAGCAGACCCAAGCTGCAGTCGGACATCCTTAGCGCTGCTGAGGAGGCGGGAGAGACTCCCACCACCACCGCTGTACTGGCAGCCATCAGCCTGGCTTGTGGCTGAGCAGAGCTCTCCCTGTGGGAGCACACTGACCACCAGGGGGCAGCTGCTGCATTGAGCGTCTGCCCCCTGGTGGTCAGTGTGTGTCATAGTGAGCAGTCATTCCCAGTCATTCTGCTGTTAGGGTCAATTTGCATATTACCCTTTTATTATATAGGACTAGGGCTTCAACATATGAATTTTGAGAGGAAACACTCAGGCTGTAAAAGTGAGGTAACTGGAAACATCATCTGCAATCTCCCCTTGATACTCTCAACCTTCCTCTGCTTCTTCAAATTGTGAACATCCACAATTTCTAGATTAAGAAGAATAATTAGAAAAGGAAAAAGAGGAAGAGAATTCTACACCCCACAAAACTAGAAAAGGAAGAAATAAGGAAGATCAAAGTTAATAGAGAAAGAAAATAACAAAGACAAGAGTTGAAAAAAAAATAGACTAAGAAGACAATAAAAAGAATCAATGAAACCAAGAGCAGGTATTTTGTAAAGAAGGAAAATTGACAAACCTTTAGTTAGACTCGCTAAGAAAAATAGTAATAAGACTCAAATAAACAAAATCAGAAATGAAAGAAACAATGCTACAATTGATATCACAGAAAACCTACCAAGAATAATTTGTAAAGAAATTGAAAATCTGAAGTCATCCTATATAATAAAGAGCTAATATGCTAGTTAGACCAAACAGCAGAATGACTATTTGGACATCCTTCCGGACAACCTTCCGGACAAAGCTGGGGCTGTGAGGGCTGGCCAAGGAAGCCAGGACTGCAAGGGCCGGCCGAGGCTGCGAGGGCCGGCCGAGGCTGTGAGGGCCAAGCCCCTTGCACGAATTTTGTGCACCAGGCCTCTAATATTAGTAATAAATTGACTCCATAATAGAAAACCTCCCACAAACAAAAGTCTACAAGCAGATGGCTTCACTAGTGAATTCCACCAATCATTTAAAGAAGAATTAGTACCAATGTTTCTCAAACTCTTCCAAATAACAGAAGAGGAAGGAACAATTTCCAATCTCATTTATAAGGCCAGCATTACCCTGATACCAAAACCAAACAAGGACAACAAAGAAAGAAAATTACATGTCAATATCCCTGATGAGCATAGATGGAAAATCCTCAACAAGATATTAGCAAAAAGAATTCAATGAAAGATTGAAAGACTCATACACCATGATCAAGTGGAACTGATTTCAGGGATGCAAAGGTGGTACGACATCTGCAAATCAATGTGACACACCACATTAACAAAGTGAAGGATAAAAATCCTATGAATCCTATGATTGTCTTAATAGAGGCAGAAAAAGCATTAGCCAAAATTCAATACCTATTTATTATAAAACTATCAACAAAGAGGACATATAGGGAACATACTTCAACATAATAGTGGCCATATATGAAAAGCCCACAGCTAACTTCAAACTCTATCGTGGAAAGCTGAAAGCTTTTTATATAAGACTAGAGGCCCAGTGCACAAATTTGTGCATGGCTGGGGTCCCTCAGCCTGGCAGGCAATTGGGGCCAATTGGGGCCACAGGAGGTTGGCCAGGGGAGGGAGGTTGGCTGGTGCAGGAGGTTGGCTGTGGGAGCACACTGATCACCAGGGGGACAGCTCCTGCATTGAGTGTCTGCCCCTTGGTGGTCAGTGCGTGTCATAGCGACCAGTCAACCGGTCGTTCAGTCGCTTAGGCTTTTATATATATAGATCAGACACAAGACAAGAATGCCCACTCTTACTTAACATAGTATTTTATTCAACATAATATTGAACTCTTATTCAACATAGTATTATTGCGAGTCCTAGCCAAAGCAATTAGTAAGAAAAATAAGGTATCCAAATCAGTAAAGAAGAGGTAAAACTGATTCTATTTATAGATGATGTAATATATAATGAGAGAAAAACATAAAGACTCCACCAAAAAAGTTAGAACTAATCAACAAATTCAAAAAAATTGCAGTCTATACAGTTAATATACAAAATGCTGAATTTCCACACATTAACAAACTATCAGAAAGAGAAATTCAGATAATAATTCCACTTACAATTGCATCAAAATGAAAATATATAGAAATAAATTTAACCAAAGGGGTAAAAGACCTGTGCCTGTCACTAAAAGACATAAATGAAAGAAATTGGAGAAGACACAAATAAAGGAAGAATATCTGTGCTCATGGAATGGAAAAATTAATATTAATGTCCACAATGCTTAAAGCAATCTAAAATTCAATGCAATTAATATTAAAATTTTAATGGCATTTTTTTCACAGAAATGGAAAAAAATCCTAAAATTTATATGGAACTAAAAAAATTTCTGAATAGCCAAAACAACCTTGAGAAAGAAGAGCAAAGGAACAGGCATCATGCTCCCTGATTTCAAACTATATTACAAACCTACAGTGGTCAAAATAGTAAGTTATTGGCAATAAAAACACACCCACATATCAATGGAGCAGAATACAGAGCCTAGAAATAAATCCACATATTATATGGCCAATATCTTTATGACAAAGGAGCCACGAATATAAATTGGGGAATGCATAGTCTTCTCAATAAATGGTGTTGGGAAAACTGACAAATATTAACTAGACTTATTGTGGTGATCATTTGCAATATATACAAACACTAATCATTATGTCCCACACTTGAAACTAATATAATGTTTTATGTCAACTGTACCTCAATAAAAAGGCAAGTATAGCTATATGCCACTAGAATTCATAAGGCTCACAGTATCAGAAAAAGCAGGTGACCCTGCTGTAGTGAAATATTGAGACTCTGCTCTGTTCTTTCACACTGTTGACTATGTGCTTTCCCTACGACATGGCTATTTCACTCCTACAAATTTACCTAGAAAGAGAGAATTGAGCACAAAAACATTGAAAAATTTATGGCTGACCATTTTCCACATTTGTTGGAATATATCAATTACACAACAAATACACTTTAACCATCATATATCTCACCTGTTTGCCTCAATTTATAGAAGAAAGTATGTGTAAGGTAAGATGTCTCACCTGAGATGCTGACCCAGTAAGAAAACAGAGATGGAACATGAATGCATTGATGCTCTGAAACCTAGTGGGTGGCTTCTGCCTCTACTCTCCTGTTTTGATGCTGATTTGCATTAGAGAAAAAATAAGTGATATGTCCTCTACCCAAGGGTGTCTGATGGAACTGGAAAACAATTTCTAGTAGATGGCCACAGGCAAATAATGCTAGAGTTCTCAATCCAGATTCTGGGAGATCAGACTTACACACAAGCAGGGCTCCATTCATACAGAACTCACTGGCTCCTGACATCTCAGGACACTTCCCAATATTAACCAGGCCAATGGTGTAAAGATGAGAAGAGACAACTGTTCTGACCTTCACCAAGCCAGCAGGAAAGATCACAGACCACATGATGTCACATGACTAGAAATGTACCTGAGGATGAATCCTGTTTCATTTCTGGAAAGGGCTGTAAATTAGAATTCACAATTAAGGAAAAGATCAAACAGTTATTTACATAAGCCTCAAAACACAAGGGGAACAACTTCCTCCTTGACAATTCCACAGTAATTACCAAAACAACCGAGACGAAAGTCCTGCTTATTGGTCCCAACATTGGGGATCTAGAGTATAAAAGTCTCAGAACAGAAGGAATCAACAGAATTTAAGAAACTCACCTCTGAACAGAAGCCCACCCTCCACACCTGACAAAATGTGCTGCTCCTCTTGCTGCCAGCCCACCTGCTACAGGACCACATGCAGAACCACCTGCTGGAGGCCCACCTGCTGTGGGTCTAGCTGTTGTGGGTCCTGCTGCTGCCAGCCTTGCTGCCGCCCTTGCTGTGGGTCCAGCTGCTGCCAGCCTTGCTGCCGCCCTTGCTGTGTGAGCAGCTGCTGCCAGCCTTGCTGCCGCCCTTGCTGTGTGAGCAGCTGCTGCCAGCCTTGCTGCTGTAGCACTCCCTGCTGCCAGCCCAGCTGCTGTGGGTCCAGCTGTGGCGGGTCCTGCTGCTGCTCACCCTGCTGCCAGCAAGTCTGTTGCTGTCCCGTGAATGTCTGCAGAACCTGCTACCGCCCCACCTGCTGCTGCGTGCCTGGGTGCATAAGCTATGGCTGTGGATCCAGCTGTGGCCAGCCCTGCTGCTGCTGATCACCTTGCCAGACAACCACCATCTGCACACATATCATCTGTGAACTGATTTGCCATTATGGAAACAAATGAACCTTCTGGACTTTGTTGACAACCAGCAAGCGAGACCATAATTTCTGTGACTCATCTGCCTGTTTAAAGAGTCAGCTGCATGGAGTGCAGAGGACTTCCCTCAGTTCTCTTCCTCTCATGTATGTGGATCTTGCCCCCACTTTGTGCATCCTCAATATGCAGTCATGGTCTTGCCTTTGACTCTGAAGTCAGGACCAATGGCTCCCTCTAAATAACTGAGTCAACAAATCTTCCTATTCCATTAATAGGTTTCTATAACTGAATAATAATCCTCCTAATCACAATTCCTTACAATGTAATCATGATTCTTGTATAAGACTTTCTTCCTTCAGGATAACATTAAGTTGTCTTACTAGATGCAAGACCCTTTTCTATGTGTTTCTTAATAAAGTCTATACCATAAGCCATCCATATTGTGTGTATTTATTGTATAGCATTCCTGATTTAAATACATATTGCATACTATATGCATCATTCATTCTGAGCACAATAGCTCCCACAATTATCATCTACAATTTCAGAAAAACAAATTCATTGCATAATGTCACAAGCTAATAATAATGACCAGACTCAGATCCAGGACTAGGTCTTCTGTTCCTGCTCAAGACACTGACATTTACATGTCAAAGATGTAGAGGTCTGAGCCTCGGGTTACAATACCCTTGGTAAGCTGTGGTGTTGTCATTGCTCAGATAAGGTTGTCAATGAGCCTGCACACACCATGAGACACCCCAGTAAAATCCCCCATTCCAGATGTACTTCTCCCTGCTCTCTACATGTTTGTGGTAATTATCACTCATCAAATAGTAACTGCTTTCTCTGCTTGCTATTCTACTCATAGGAAAATTCCAAGCTCACCAGATGATAGTTACAAAATTACAATGATATTACTTGACAAAAAGTGCTTTCTTAGGAGTAAAACTACCAATCCAGAAGAAACTGGAGGCATGATGGGATAGGAAGCCCCAATTCCCAAGCATGTTACAGGGGATTCACATGAGAGGGTCACCTTTATTTTCACCCATTATTTCTAAATCCATGGATACTAACTTTCATGAATACATATAGTACTACATATATGTCAAGCAAATAATGGTCAGTGGACCAAAATATATGCCACATTTAGAAGACAATATATCAATCCCCCAGGTTGTCATCTTTATGGTGGCATCTTTGCTTCACATCTAAAACACCACGCTCATTTTTATCAGTCCAGCAACTTCTCTGTCATGTGATGTATGGTAGGGCAAGTAGATCCATAGGACAAGTAGATCCATGATTATATGCCTATTGTTGACCTTGTTCATCATAAAGTGGGTCCCTTGGTCCCAAAATGTTGCTAACCAGCATCCTACCACAATAGGCTGTAAGCTCGTGGGTAGCACTGCAAACAAAGAAGACAATTCCACACACCAAACTCAAACCATAGACAGGAAAAATTGATGTTTTCAATGTGGAAGTGGTACAAGTAGAACATTGCTCTGTGTGGGTGATTACTTTTCAAGATGGATATTACAGATAAGGATTCAACGCCATTCTCTGCTTATGACAACAGCACATAGAGCAGAGGAGCTGTGGGGAGAGGAAGTTCTTGCTCTTGGTTCACACAAAGCCTCTGTCCCTTCCTTCAGGGCTACTTTGCTCATGCTCCCTGTGCAAATGTTGGTGCACCTGAGAAGGGACACAGGCTGAGCTGTATCAAACTCATAGTTGTTCAGTGTCTCCTAAATAGTGGATACTCTCTGGGGGGGTTCGGCATTGAGGTGGGACAGAATGTGGAAACACTTTCTGTCCACAGACCATCTCCCTCTACATGATTCTTCTCCAAATGCCTATAGTCCAACCTGCTCCTTCCAGGACTGTGAGCAGTCAGTCAAGGCTTTCACCACTGGCAAATAGTCAATTAACATCGTTCCCTCGGGCCACTTTTTTAATCCAAAAATACATACACATATAAATAATGCTCAATATACTCCTCAGAGTTGTTTTGACTCGAAATATTTCCTCTGTCCACTGCCTTTGAAACTAGAAGTTGATCTCTTGCCATAAAAACTCCATTGGGCATAAATTCTGCTATTGGGCTTATCAATTAATGAATTTTGAGGTATTCCGTGTCCATATATTATAATAATTGTAGGTTTTTCGGGAATAAAATGGAATTGTGCTAAAAATGATCATCCTTGTGTTCATTAGCCATGGACATCATCGCTACACCATGATCTTCTCCCTGGTTTGGGAGAAGACCTACCATTATTCCTGGTTTGGGATGTTTATAATTTGTAACATTGAGGTCAGTTGTACTAAGTCAGAGATAAAGAGATAAGCAAGAGAGAAATAAATCTTAGCTTATTAAGGCAAAAGAAAAGGGAAAGTTACTATACTCTACTAAAAATAAGGGTGATGAATTGATTTGTTTTTGTCATGTCTGTTGAAAACATAAGAACGGTGGTATCTCCAAGAAAGTATCTGCCAGCAGACTGGTTGCCCGAGTAAAAGAAAGGAAAATAGAGGAAGTAACACTTCCAGATTAATCCATGGATGGTCATAATATGTAAGACGGTAGCTGGATAATAAAACAAAACAAAATATTTGTAAGGGATGATTATACGGTATAGGTAAGAAACAATTCATGAGTTGGCATAAAGAATACACTATATTTCCCTTAACAGTAAAACTAGTGAGTGGCAGAGCAGGAACCTGAGGACTTCCCCATATGATTTAAACCTCATAACCAAAATCAATTGTACTTACTTCCACAATAAAGAACTTATGGTTGAAGATAAAATCAGAGCTAAACAGATGCACAATCTACAGAAAATGGATAATGGAAACTACAAGCATCTTACAAAATCGGCACAGATGCCAAGTAGTAAGAATAGTAACAAATGTCCATACATTTCAGGATCTTATTATATTCCATCAAACCATAATCTAGGAACAACTACAATATTAAGAGAAACTACTCTTAACAATTTCTTCACAATAAGGATCTATTTGGCAATGTCAATTTCATGGCCCTTGAGAAAAACTGAGCTTCATAAAATTCATGCACTCAACAGGGAAATGCTGTCCTTCATCAGAAGTGCATCCCACGAGGCGGGGAAACACATGTAAGAGATACAGTGAAGGGAATGTGATGCTGCAGCAGGACTATCAGGGGACAAAGTCTAATTGGAGGAGCTGCTCTGCAATGCCTTCGGACTGAGCAAAAGATGCAGGAGGCCCAGGAGGGTGGACTCTCACATAAGGAAGCTCTGTTATGGGAGATGTTAGCAAATGGGATAGGCTACCATGGGGGTAGGAGCTCACATCACTGCAGGTATCAAGCATCAACTAAACAACCAATTGGTAGATACTGGGATATTGTATCTTTGATTTGCACTCTCTGTGAGTAAATTCAATAGGGGACTCTAAGGGTCCTCTCCATTACTGAGTCTCTCTAAAGTCCCCAAATTCTCTTGCTTGTCCAATCACTGTCACTGATTGCTTGCTGACATTGCTGTCATTCCCAGAAGTCCACAAGCATTCAAAAGTATCACACTGAAATTAATACATGGCACGGGGTGCCATGACATTTTTATGCATTCACCTGAGAAAACAAGAAGCTCTCTTTCAAGTTGATTTTCAGAATTGTGACAAATCTATGAGGAGCTGGATTTAAATCTTGCGGACTCAGACATCTGATCTCAATCACACACAAGGATGAGTCGCTACCCGACCCCTGAGGCATAACAACTTAATTGATCCTCATAAATTAATATGCCAATTATTAGCCACAATTATAAATGTAGTAACTTTAGTTTCCATAGTGTATTTGACCAGTTGTTTCTCGGTCCACAAATGCCTACCAGGGTAGTCAAATAATAACAGGAGGGTTATTTTCTGAGCAAAGAATCAGAAGAAATAATTTAGAAGAACACAATGTTTAGTGGCACTGCCTGCATTCATGTCAAACACGTGCTCTTGCCTCAGGAACTGGAAGGCTCAGGTGCGATGTCCCTCTCCCTTGTGCGGGGCAGCTGTGCTCTGCCCACCTCTGCCCATGTGCCTCTCCTGACTCTGAACTTCCAGGGTTCACTGCCATATGCCCATTTGAGAAACACACATTCATTTGTACATGTTCTCAACCTGGGTAGTGGATATTCTCCTTGTCTTGATATGATTCTTCCTCTTTAAAGTGCCTGTATAAATTGGTTCTGCTCCTGTTTGTGTCTTTACATTCAGCTTTAGAAGGGCAATCCTATCATGTGTGGATGATATAACTGTGCATGTAAAATGTCCAAAAAATCTGTCAATGAGCTATTAGAAATAATCATGCAGTTTGATTACAGGATCAACATCCAAACATGAATTGTATTTGTGTATGTCAGAAACAGAATTTAACATTTCAAGTATAACATATTCCAAATCCATGGATACTAACTTTCATGAATATATATAGTACTACATATATGTCAAGCATATAATGGTCATTGGACCAAAGTATATGCCACATTTAGAAGACAATTTATCAATCCTCCAGGTTGTCATCTCTATGGTGGTATCTTTGCTGCACATCTAAAACACCATGCTCATTTTTTATCAGTCCAGCAACTTCTCTGTCACGTGATGTATGGTAGGGCAAGTAGATCCATGATTATGTGCCTATTGTTGACCTTGTTCATCATAAAGTGGGTCCCGTGCTCCAAAGTGTTGCTATCCAGCATCCTACGACAATAGACTGTAAGCTTGTGGGTAGCACTGCAGACAAAGACAATTCCACACACCAAACTCGCAACCATAGAAAGGAAGAATTGCTGTGTTTTCAATGTGGAAGTGGTACAAGTAGAACATTGGCTGTGTGGGTGATTGCTTCCAAGATGGATATTATAGATAAGACTCAACACCATTCTCTGCTTATGACAACAGCACATCAATCTAAATACTGTATGGCCAAAGGAACAACACTGAGAGGAGACCACTATCCTGACTTTCTTCAAACCAGCAAGTAGTAATACACCACCAGATGATGTCACATGACCAGAAATGTTGCTGGGGATGATTCCTGATTGTCCCATTTCTGGAAAAGATTCTTAAGTAATATTCCCAATTAAGGAGAAGATCAAACGGTAATTTACAGATCCCTCAAAACACAAGGGGAACAACTTCCTCCTTGACAATTTCCTTGTGACTATAAACGAGGAAACAACAGCAAGGAAAGGCCTGCTTATTGGTCCCATTATTGGGGGTCCAGAGTATAAAAGCCCCCAAAGAGAAGACACCATCAGAATCTGAGAAACTCACCTCTGAACAGAAGCCCACCCTCCACACCTGACAAAATGTGCTGCTCCTCTTGCTGCCAGCCCACCTGCTACAGGACCACATGCAGAACCACCTGCTGGAGACCCACCTGCTGTGGGTCCAGCTGTTGTGGGTCCTGCTGCTGCCAGCCTTGCTGCCGCCCTTGCTGTGGGTCCAGCTGCTGCCAGCCTTGCTGCCGCCCTTGCTGTGTGAGCAGCTGCTGCCAGCCTTGCTGCTGTAGCACTCCCTGCTGCCAGCCCAGCTGCTGTGGGTCCAGCTGTGGCGGGTCCTGCTGCTGCTCACCCTGCTGCCAGCAAGTCTGTTGCTGTCCCGTGAATGTCTGCAGAACCTGCTACCGCCCCACCTGCTGCTGCGTGCCTGGGTGCATAAGCTATGGCTGCGGATCCAGCTGTGGCCAGTCCTGCTGCTGCTGATCACCTTGCCAGACAACCACCATCTGCACACCTATCATCTGTGAACTGATTTGCCATTATGGAAACAAATGGTCTTCCTTGACTTTGCTGACACCAGCATGCTGGACCATAATTTCTGTGACTCATCTGATTGGTTACAAGTTTTGAGTCAGCTTGATGGAGGTCACAGGACTTCGACCTTCCTCCTGTGCCTGTAGGTCATGTACCAGTTTTATACATCCTCGATATGGAACTGACCTTGATTTTGAAGTAGGATTACTTAGTTCCTCTAAGTAACTTAGGAAATAAAATTCTCATAACTTTTTCATAGGTTTCTGTAATTGATCAATAATCTTCACAATCATATATTCTTTTTCAGTGTACTCATGGTTTTTGTATCATGCTTTCTTCTTTTATGATCACTTTGAGTTGTCTTTGTAGAATCAGGAGTCTTACTATGTGTTTCTTAATAAATTCTATATCATAATTCATCCATATTGTGTGTGATTTATTGTACAGAATTCAAATACACAGGATTTAAATACACATTGCATACTACATGCATTATCCATTCTGAACATCATAATAGCACCTCCCACATTATTATCTCCGATTTTCAGAACAGCAACAACAACAACAACAACACACAAACAATTCATTGTGCGATGTCACAAGCTAATAATGAACAGACTCAGATCCAGGACTGGGTCTTCTGTGCCTGCTCAAGACACTGACATTTACATGTCAAAGATGTAGAGGTCTGAGCCTCTGGTTACTGAACCCCTCGCAAGCTGTGGTGTTGTCATTGCTCAGATAAGGTTGTCAATGAGCCTGCACACACCATGAGACACCCCAGGAAATTCCCACATTCCAGATGTACTTCTCCCTGCTCTCTACATATTTGTGGTAATTATCACTCGTCAAATAGTAACTGCTTTCTCTGCTTGCTACACTACTCATATGAAAATTGTAAGCTCACCAGATGATAGTTACAAAATTACATGATATTACTTGACAAAAAGTGCTTTCTTAGGAGTACAACTACCAATCCAGAAGAAACTAGAGGCATGATGGGATAGGAAGCCCCAATTCCCAAGCATGTTACAGGGGATTCACATGAGAGGGTCACCTTTATTTTCACCCATTATTTCTAAATCCATGGATACTAACTTTCATGAATACATATAGTACTACATATATGTCAAGCAAATAATGGTCATTGGACCAAAATATATGCCACATTTAGAAGACAATATATCAATCCCCCAGGTTGTCATCTTTATGGTGGCATCTTTGCTGCACATCTAAAACACCATGCTCATTTTTTATCAGTCCAGCAACTTCTCTGTCATGTGATTTATGGTAGGGCAAGTAGATCCATAGGACAAGTAGATCCATGATTATGTGCCTATTGTTGACCTTGTTCATCACAAAGTGGGTCCCTTGGTCCCAAAATGTTGCTATCCAGCATCCTACCACAATAGGCTGTAAGCTCGTGGGTAGCACTGCAGACAAAGAAGACAATTCCACACACCAAACTCAAACCATAGACAGGAAAAATTGCTGTTTTCAATGTGGAAGTGGTACAAGTAGAACATTGCTCTGTGTGGGTGATTACTTTTCAAGATGGATATTACAGATAAGGATTCAACGCCATTCTCTGCTTATGACAACAGCACATAGAGCAGAGGAGCTGTGGGGAGAGGAAGTTCTTGCTCTTGGTTCACACAAAGCCTCTGTCCCTTCCTCCAGGGCTACTTTGCTCATGCTCCCTGTGCAAATGTTGGTGCACCTGAGAAGGGACACAGGCTGAGCTGTATCAAACTCATAGTTGTTCAGTGTCTCCTAAATAGTGGATACTCTCTGGGGGGGTTCGGCATTGAGGTGGGACAGAATGTGGAAACACTTTCTGTCCACAGACCATCTCCCTCTACATGATTCTTCTCCAAATGCCTATAGTCCAACCTGCTCCTTCCAGGACTGTGAGCAGTCAGTCAAGGCTTTCACCACTGGCAAATAGTCAATTAACATCGTTCCCTCGGGCCACTTTTTTAATCCAAAAATACATACACATATAAATAATGCTCAATATACTCCTCAGAGTTGTTTTGACTCGAAATATTTCCTCTGTCCACTGCCTTTGAAACTAGAAGTTGATCTCTTGCCATAAAAACTCCATTGGGCATAAATTCTGCTATTGGGCTTATCAATTAATGAATTTTGAGGTATTCCGTGTCCATATATTATAATAATTGTAGGTTTTTCGGGAATAAAATGGAATTGTGTAAAAATGATCATCCTTGTGTTCATTAGCCATGGACCTCATCGCTACACCATGATCTTCTCCCTGGTTTGGGAAAAGACCTACCATTATTCCTGGTTTGGGATGTTTATAATTTGTAACATTGAGGTCAGTTGTACTAAGTCAGAGATAAAGAGATAAGCAAGAGAGAAATAAATCTTAGCTTATTAAGGGAAAAGAAAAGGGAAAGTTACTATTCTCTACTAAAAATAAGGGTGATGAATTGATTTGTTTTTGTCATGTCTGTTGAAAACATAAGAACGGTGGTATCTCCAAGAAAGTATCTGCCAACAGACTGGCTGCCCCAGTAAAAGAAAGGAAAATGGAGGAAGTAACACTTCCAGATTAATCCATGGATGGTCATAATATGTAAGATGGTAGCTGGATAATAAAACAAAATATTTGTAAGGGATGATTATATGGTATAGGTAAGAAACAATTCATGAGTTGGCATAAAGAATACACTATATTTCCCTTAACAGTAAAACTAGTGAGTGGCAGAGCAGGAACCTGAGGACTTTTCCATATGATTTAAATCTCATAACCAAAATCAATTGTACTTACTTCCACAATAAAGAACTTATGGTTGAAGATAAAATCAGAGATAAACAGATGTACAATCTACAGAAAATGGATAATGGAAACTAGAAGCATCTTATAAAATCGGCACAGATGGCAAGTAGTGAGAACAGTAACAAATGTCCATACATTTCAGGATCTTATTATATTCCATCAAACCATAATCTAGGAACAACTACAATATTAAGAGAAACTACTCTTAATTTCTTCACAATAACGATCTATTTGGCGATGTCATTTTCATGGCCCTTGAGAAAAACTGAGCTTCATAAAATTCATGCACTCAACAGGGAAATGCTGTCCTTCATCAGAAGTGCATCCCACGAGGCGGGGAAACACATGCAAGAGATACAGTGAAGGGAATGCGATGCTGCAGCAGGACTATCAGGGGACAAAGTCTACTGAGAGGAGGAGCTGCTCTGCAATGCCTTCTGACTGTCTGAGCAAAAGATGCAGGAGGCCCAGGAGGGTGGACTCTCTCATAAGGAAGCTCTGTTATGGGAGATGTTAGCAAATGGGATAGGCTACCATGGGGGTAGGAGCTCACATCACTGCAGGTATCAAGCATCAACTAAACAACCAATTGGTAGATACTGGGATATTGTATCTTTGATTTGCACTCTCTGTGAGTAAATTCAATAGGGGACTCTAAGGGTCCTCTCCATTACTGAGTCTCTCTAAAGTCCCCTAATTCTCTCTCTTGTCCAATCACTGTCACTGATTGCTTGCTGACATTGCTGTCATTCCCAGAAGTCCACAAGCATTCAAAAGTATCACACTGAAATAAATACATGGCACGGGGTGCCATGACATTTTTATGCATTCACCTGGGAGAACAAGAAGCTCTCTTTCAAGTTGATTTTCAGAATTGTGACAAATCTATGAGGAGCTGGATTTAAATCTTGCGGACTCAGACATCTGATCTCAATCACACACAACGATGAGTCGCTACCCAACCCCTGAGGCATAACAACTTAATTGATCCTCATAAATTAATATGCCAATGATTAGCCACAATTATAAATGTAGTAACTTTAGTTTCCATAGTGTATTTGACCAGTGGTTTCTCGGTCCACAAATGCCTACTAGGGTAGTCAAATAATAACAGGAGGGTTATTTTCTGAGCAAAGAATCAGAAGAAATAATTTAGAAGAACACAATGTTTAGTGGCACTGCCTGCATTCATGTCAAACACGTGCTCTTGCCTCAGGAACTGGAAGGCTCAGGTGCAATGTCCCTCTCCCCTGTGCGGGGCAGCTGTGCTCTGCCCACCTCTGCCCGTGTGCCTCTCCTGACTCTGAACTTCCAGGGTTCACTGCCATATGCCCGTTTGAGAAACACACATTCATTTGTACATGTTCTCAACCTGGGTAGTGGATATTCTCCTTGTCTTGATATGATTCTTCCTCTTTAAACTGCCTGTACAAATTGGTTCTGCTCCTGTTTGTGTCTTTACATTCAGCTTTAGAAGGGCAATCCTATCATGTGTGGATGATATAACTGTGCATGTAAATGTCCAAAAAAACTATCAATGAGCTATTAGAAATAAACAAGCAGTTTGATTACAGGATCAACATCCAAACATGAATTGTATTTGTATATGTCAGAAACAGAATTTAACATTTCAAGTATAACATATTCTAAATCCATGGGTACTAACTTTCATGAATACATATAGTACTACATATATGTCAAGCATATAATGGTCACTGGACCAAAGTATATGCCACATTTAGAAGACAATTTATCAATCCTCCAGGTTGTCATCTCTATGGTGGTATCTTTGCTGCACATCTAAAACACCATGCTCATTTTTTATCAGTCCAGCAACTTCTCTGTCACATGATGTATGGTAGGGCAAGTAGATCCATGATTATGTGCCTATTGTTTTTTTTTGTGTGTTTTTTTTTAAATATATTTTATTGATTTTTTACAGAGAGGAAGGGAGAGAGTTAGAGAGTTAGAAACATCTATGAGAGAAAAACATCAATCAGCTGCCTCCTGCACATCTCCTACTGGGGATGTGCCCGCAACACAGGTACATGCCCTTGACCGGAATCGAACCTGGGACCTTTCAGTCCGCAGGCCGACGCTCTATCCACTGAGCCAAACCGGTTTCGGCGATGTGCCTATTGTTGACCTTGT